CCCCCCCCCCCCCCATTTAGTTTGGTGGCCTAGAAACCCAAAACTCGGCCACATCGTCTCACATGTGGAATGGTTTGAAAGAGCAGGTTTTGCGAGTTCCAAATCAGTTTTTAGATTTAAAAAAAGTTGATTTAGAAGTGAGTTACGGTCAATTTAGTTTGGTGGCCTAGAAATCCGAATCTAGGCCATATCGTCCCAAATTTGAAGTGGCCATAACTCGCTTCAAAATCGATATCTTTGAAATCTGAAAACTGGTATGGAACTCTGAAGACTTGCTTTTTAGAACAATATAGACCATGGCCTAGTTTTCACAAAATTTGGATTTCTAGGCCACCACCTTAAAATTGCCGGCTGTCGGCTGTGAACCTCAGTTCTTTCGAAAATAAGCGAACTCTGGGAAGTACAGTAACCATACAGATCGCGGTGGCCCTATTTTCGACAACCACACATCCTTCTACCGTAACCCCGCATTACTGTAGAAGGATATGCCTACAGTAAGCCCAGGGCTACTGTAGCTACTAGCGCTACAGTAAGCCTGGCTACAGTAACCTTGGGTTCCTTGAATTACTGTAGCCCAAACATTTTGAATCTGAAATTTTTCGAATTCTGGAAATTCCAAGAATCTTAAATTGTTTTTAATTTTTCCCACAATTTTTCGGTTTTTCTTAATTCTTAGAACTACAGTAATCCCTAGACTACTGTAGCCCAACTAGGATCACGGTAACTCCACGGATACAGTAATCCATCCTACAGTAATCTTCAAAAGTTCTACGTTACTGTATATTGTCTCCTACTACAGTAATCCATCAAGAGAAGGATTACGGTAGAAAATCTCATTTGAGTTACTGTCGGCTCTACAGTAACCTAGGATTACTGTGCCTACCACTTTGATGACGATGGCTAGTTCAATTAGGATTACTGTAGAAATACACATACAGTAGTCCTAGAGCTAACCTAGGAGGACAGTATTACTGTAGAAGAATATTACTACAGTAATCTTTCAAATACCGGATTACTGTAAAAAAGCTTTTTTGAAAAAGCTAGATCTCCAGTAACCCCAGGACTTCACTGACCTAGACTACAGTACCCCGAAGACCAGGATTACTGTACCTTGACAGACAAGTATCTACAGTAATCCTGGAATCTGAACCTACAGTAATCCCAAAGATCTCATTTATCTAGACTACAGTAACCCCAGGATAAGGATGACTGTAGGGATACTGTAACTACAAGACTACTGTAAAAAGCGGAATCTACAACAATCCCAGGACTTAAATTATCTAAACTACAGTACCTCTAAGATTACTGTAGTCTACAGTAATCCAGACATGTTCACATTTATTCAATTAAAAAATCGCTCAAAAAAGTCAGTTCAATCAATGACGATAGTGGAATTCTGATGATGTCCAACTCCATGACCACCGGACGATCCTTCTGAATTCTCCAGAATTCTGACGTCTTCATCGTCATCCTCGGGACGAAACACCAATTTCATCGATGTATTCAATTTTTTGTGAAATTTCACATCTGGAGTATTCTGGCTGGAGACGTCACAAAATTGACCGAATCTCTCGGCGACCAGTTGACGCACCTGCAAGAAGTTACAGTAATCCTACAGTAATACCGGAAGCTCGTGAAGCGGTAGGATTACTGTAGGCAGAGCTAGATCTACAGTAATCTGTATCTAGAAGTTTCTGCAGTAATCCTAGACGAGTTGGATTACGGTAGGAGCTCTAGACGCGATAGATTACTGTAATCCTCAGAAGTCTGGAAATCTACAGAAATCCTAGTAGTATTAGGATATAACTACAGTAACACTCTAAGCTACAGTAATCCTAGACAAGGATTTTCGTAGCTACAGTAACCCCATTGTCATACTGTACCCCCTACCTTTCTAATCGCGGCGCCCACATCCTTCTGCTCAAACGGATTGAATCCCCCGACAAACAGTGTTGGCGTGGGTTGAGTGGCCAAATAAGCGGCATGCTGAAAATAATTTGGGATACTGTAGCCTGCAGCCCACAGTAATCCACCGTACTCTCGCCTGACGTCTTCTTCTGAAATTGTCGAAGTCAGCGCCGCCCAAAGTCCGTCTTTGATGAGGCGTTGCTCCTGAGACCGGTCCCAGGCGAGATGGCTGAAAAAAAGGGGCGGGGCCTATTTAAGGGGGTGTGGCTTGATTACCTTGGTAGTCTGCTTCTTTGGGGTCTCCAATGTAGTCTTTCCGGCTTCAAAACGCCCAGGAGAACTCGAGGATCTGAAAAAGTACAGTAATCCGGATCCTGAAATTTTGGATCTGGTAGGTTTTAGGATTACTGTAATCATGCTAGAATGGGGTACAGTAATCCGTTTTAGAACTACAGTAACCCAACAACGAATCCTAGCTATAGTAATTCGAGGATTACTGTAAATAGATGTGCTTTTCAGCTACAGTAATCCCGGAGATCTCACCTCGACATATCTTTTGATTGATTCTTGTTTTGAGTATTTCCAAAAATAAGGTTTTTTTTGTTGAAATTTTCAAAATTTTAGAAATTCCACGTTCCAGAGAAACTAGGTGTATTTTTGGCTAGAAAAAAGTAGGCCGAAAATCTTGAATTTTTCGAATAAAAGCTTAGAAATCCCACAAATTTGAAATTCTCAATAGAGCGCACTTGCTGAAACCTTGTTGGATTTGGCTGGAAAATATGGATTCCGAGGCAATCGAGTATTGGAAATTCAAAAAGCATGTTCGTTTTCACCGGAAACTTCTAGAAACTCTAGAAATTTGAATTTCTCAATGGAGCGCACTTGCTAAAAACTTGTTGGATTTGGCTGGAAAATTTTCTAAAAGTTTCTTTGCGGTTTTTGGCTTCTTCAAAGCTTCCAGAACGTGTTGCTCTACGGTGGTTTCTTTCAAAAAGTTCAGTAGAGCGCACTTGCAGCATTTCCTTTCTGTTCTTCGCGGAGGTCTTTCCGGAAGCACACGTACGGTAGTACAGTCAATGATTTTTCCCACGAGAACTAGAACCTTGTCATACTGTACATCTGTTAGATTTATGACTACGGATTCCCAGGACTTCCCAGGAGCCTACGCACGCTGCGTAGCGCCCCTCCTCGTAAAAGCCAGGTGGGTCCATACTAAACCAGGTGGACCCTATCTGTCCAAGTCAATCCATATCCAAAAATTCGGTCTTTCTTGGTTTTGACGTCTTCTGGTTTGACGTCTTCTTTTTTGTTCTCTCTGCTATTGATTTCAACCTTCAACCACTTCATTTCCAGCTTATCCACCAGTCTTACTGTAGCTAACTTCCGCATAACTGCTGTCCAGCTTACCTAGCTAGCCAACTGTACCGTTCACTGACTGTACCTAACCGTATCTTACTGTAGCTAATCGCTTTATTTTTTCCAGTTTACCTAGCTAACCTACTGTACCAATGGGACGTCTTGCCAGCTCCTCCCCCACCCCTCCAGCCACCCAAGGCATCGAAGAAGACGTTAGATCACATTTCCGAGGCCTAGGCGTCGGAGAGATTACAATGGACAATGCCGAAGTGTCAAGCCACGTGACTATGGTACAGTACACCGAGCGACGAGATGCCCTGTTGGTACGAATCGAGGCGCATAAGGAAGCGGACCCACTGCAGAGGGGTCCATTTTGGCAGGAGGAATTCCACGATGCATTTGCGAGAATCGTCACTGGAGAACGGATGATTGAGAGGTGCCGAGAGGTTCAGAGGATGCATTGGCTGTTTAAGGAGGGCAGGGATGAGGAGGCGATGAGGATTCATGATGTCATTCAGGAGAGAATGCGTAGAAGACGTCAAGAGGTTGAAGAGATGGAGATGGAGGATGAGCGATTTGATGAGGAGGAGGAGAGTGAAGCTGAGGAGTCGGATGACGAAGAAGAGTCTGATGCTAGCGACTCTGAGGATCCAGAAAATTCCGACGATGATAGCCAAGAGGATTCAGAAGACGTCTACAATGATCACCTAGAGGATTCTGATGCTTCCATCGTTTTTGAAGATCCAGAAGACGTCTACAATGGTTTACCGCGTTCTGGCGATGACAACCTGTTGGATTTTGATGCTAGCCATTCAGAAGACGACTGTTCTGCTGGAAGACGTCGAGGTGTAGAAGAAGAGGATTCTGATGATGCTAGTCAGGATCTTTATGAAGCTAGCGATATAGAAAATGCCTACGAGTATTCTGAGTTTTGTGACGATGACGATCTGAAAGATATGGATTTTGGTGGCCTAGAAAGTTCTGACGGTGAAGTTCTGGAGGATTATGATGGTGCTGCTGGAAGAGGACGTCGATTTTTTAAGTCTGGTGTCAGCGATTCAGAAGGTGTCTACACGGATTCTGACGATGGACATCTTGAAGATTCTGAAGTCAACGATTCTGAAGAAGACGTTTACAATGAGCAATCGGAAGACTGTGACAGTGAAGCTGAGGATTTTGAGATGGTTGGGTATGAGCAATCTCCAGAATTTCAATACATGGACCATGAAGAAGACATTGAGGACTTTGAGATGGTAGATTATAACGAAGATGAGCAATCTTCGGGATTCGAAGTGCACCAGGAGGATTATGAGATGGTTGGATATCCCGAAAATCAGCATTTTGAGAATTTTGGGGTCCCAGAATTCGAGAATGAGCAATTTGAGATGGTCCATTACAACCAGCAGCAGGAGGAGGAGGATACTGATGAGGACGAGGAGATCGATGTTGTTAATTGATTTTTTTTTGATGTTTTTTACTGTATTTTTTGGATTTTTTTTGCTTGGAAGTTAATAAAATATAATAAAAAATCCACTTTTTGAAATTTTAACGAGCTTTAGAGCTCCCGAGTGAGCCAAAATCAGAAGAAATGGAATTTTAAGCGTTTTCCCGAAATTTTTGCTCCAAACCATTGCGATTTTCGAATTCAGGGTACTTGATAACCCCTAAAACTCGTTTTTCAGCAATATTTGACAATTTTGAGCAAGTGCGCTCTATTGAGAATCTTGAGTTTTCAAGGTTTCTGGAGGTTTTAAGCAGAGCGCACTTGCTGGAAATGTTCTAAATGCGTTTTAAGCCATTTTTCAACTTTTTTAACCGCTCAAAACCGGCTGGAAATCCTAAAAATCTGAAATTCTCAATAGAGCGCACTTGCTGAAACCTTGTTTAATTTGGCTGGAAATCGGAATTTAGGGGTTTTCTAGTGTCCAAAATTCAAATATCGTATTAGTTCTCACCGGAATCTTCTGGAAATCCCACAAATTTGACATTCTCAATAGAGCGCTCTTGCTGAAACCTTGTTGGATTAGGCTGGAAATTCGGATTCAGGGCTAATTTAGTATGCAGAAACTGAAAATCGTATTTATTTTTGACGGAAAAGTCTAGAAAGACCAGAAATTAGAAAGTATCAATAGAGCGCACTTGCTGAAACCTTGTTGGATTTGGCTGAAAATTAGAGTTCTATGGTAATCGAGTGTGGGGAACTCGAAAATAACATTCATTTTTAGCGGAAAATGCTAGAAAATCCAGAAAATTGACATTCTCCATAGAGCGCACTTGTCAAAAAAAAAATTTCGGAAATTATTTTTTTTTGAAAAATTCAAATTTCCCGCCCAGCCACTCTCCATTTTTAAACTTCACTATCTTTTGCAGGTCTCGCGTTCGTGTTCAAGAGCATCTTCCGACTGGAGCTCAACTACACGTTCCCGCTGAAATATGTGCTCGGCGACTCGATTCTCGGCGGTTTTCATATTGGTGCCGGCGTCAATTTCTTGTAGATCATCAAAAATCGATAAATTCAGAGATAATTAAACCTATTTTTCTGGAATTTTTTATTTGAAAAAAATTTGGAAAAAAATTTTTTTTTTTGAATTTTTTAAATTTCGCGCCTATTTCCACTCAATTCCCCCATTTTTCGTCTATTTTTTCTTTCCCGAGATAGGACCATAATTTTAATTTTTCTTTGTCGTTTTTTTTAGAATCAAGTCATTTTTCATAGAAAAATCAATAAATGAATTTTTTGCAATTTTTTTGAATTTTTCCAATTTTTCTCTATGATTTTAGTGTCATTTTTTACGTATTTTTGTATATTTTCAGGTTATTTTTCTAAAAAATTCAGATTTTCAGAAAAAAATGACCCTTCGAAAGATCAATTTTGTGACTGGAAACGCGAAAAAGTTGCAAGAAGTCAAGGAGATTTTAAAGGGGTTTGAGGTAGAAATTTAGCTGAAAATTTGAAGCAAAAATTTGAAAAAAAGTTTTGTCCTGGGTCACTGTAACCCTGTGGAAAACTGGTCTTCACTGCCGATGGCCGGCAATTCTAAGGTGGTGGCCTAGAAAACCAAGTTTTGTGAATACTAGGCCATGTACATGGAATGAAAGAGCAAGCTCTGAGTGTTCCAAATCAGTTTTCAGATTTGAAAAATCTCGAATTTGAAGCGAGTTATAGCCATTTTAAATTTGGGACGATGTGGCCTAGTTCTGGATTTCTAGGCCACCAAACTTGAAATTACTATAACTCGCTTCAAATTCAATATGTTTTGAATCTAAAAACTGATATGGAACACTCAGAGCTTGCTCTTTCGAACTATGTACACCATGGCCTAATTTTCACAAAACTTGGTTTTCTAGGCCACCAGCTTTTTTTGTTGAAATTTTCAAATTTACACCAAAAATTTTGAAGCTTTTCGATCGAAAAAATTTCTTTAGGGATTTTCAGAAATCCAAAAAAAATTGCTGGCCTAACTTTTCGGAGATTTTTAGGCCATCAAACACATTTTTCAAGACAGTTTTCTGATTCGAAAAATTTCAATTCGAAAGCCAATCACGACCATTTTAGTTTGGTGGCCTAGAAATCCAAAGGGTATGAAAACTAGGCCATGGTGTACATGGTTCGAAAGAGCATAGTTTAGGAGTTCCAAGGCAGTTTTTAGATTTGAAAAATATCGAAATTGAAGCGAGTTATGGCCATTTTAAGTAGGTGGCCTAGAAATCCCAAACTAGGCCATATCTAACCAAATTTGAAATGACAATAACTCGCTTCGAAATCGATATTTTTTGAATCTAAAAACTGATATGAAACGCTCTTTCGAACCATATACACTATGGCCTGACTTTTCAAAATTTGGATTTCTAGGCCACCAAGCTAAAATAAACGTAACTAGCTTAAAAAATTCCAAAAAATCGATTTTTTGAATTCCAGGTCACCAATGTGGACGTCGATCTGAACGAGTATCAAGGAGAGCCCGAATTCATTGCTCAGAAAAAGTGTCAAGAGGCGGTCGAAGCGGTCAAGGGACCAGTTTTGGTGGGAAATTATAATTTTTGAAAATTTCAAAAAATCTGAAAATTCCAGGTCGAGGACACGAGTTTGTGCTTCAACGCAATGGGCGGTCTCCCAGGACCATATATCAAGTGGTTCTTGACAAATTTGAAACCCGACGGACTTTACAATATGTTGAGTAAGTGCGCTCCATTGAGAATTGACGAAAATTGGCTGAAAATTGGCTGAAAATCAGCCAATCTTCATCCAATCTCGACGAAATTAATGTTTTTGGAATCCTTGGACTAAGAGCTTCAAAATGAGTATAATAATGACTGGGTTTTTTCAAAAAATGCAAATGCGCTCCATTGAGAATTTTTCAATTTTCGGTATTTTTTCAGCTGGTTTCGCCGACAAGACCGCCTACGCTCAGTGCATTTTCGCCTACACCGAGGGACTCGGAAAGCCGATTCACGTTTTTGCTGGTATGATGCAAATTCGCTCTATTGAGAATTTTCGAAATTTCTGGCAAAATCGTTGGAAAACAAAAATTTCCAGGTGTTTCTGCTGAAAACAAATGCCAAATTCGAATTCAGCATGCTTGATAACCCCTAAAACTCGTTTTCCAGCAAAATTTGACGATTTTTAGCAATTGCGCTCCATTGAGGATTCTGAAAAAATAGAATTTTAAGACTTTTCCGGAAGTTTTTGCTAAAAACCAATGCCATATTTGAATTCAGCGTGTTCGGTAACCCCTAAAACTCGTTTTTCAGCAAAATTTGACGATTTTCAGCAAGTGCGCTCCATTGAGAATTTTTGGAAATTCGTCGATTTTCGACTTTCCAATAGAGCGAATTTGCTGGAAACTTCCAAAATTGTCTAGAATCCTAGTTTCTGTAAGTTTAGAGCCATTTAACCTCCGAAAATCACCCAAAACTTCGGATTCTCAGTAGAGCGCACTTGCAAAAATGTGCCTGGATTTGCCTAGAAAATTAGAATTAAAGGTTGTCAAGTGTGCGAAATTCAAAAATCCTATTTATTTTTATCGAAAACTTCTAGAAAATCCAGAAATTGGAAAATTTTCAATAGAGCGCACTTGCACGAAACTCGTCGAATTTGACTGAAAACTTGGTTTCAGGAGTAATCGAGTATGAGGATTCTGGAAATTGGGTTTATTTTCCAGCGGGAAGATTTGGAAAATTTTGAAAAAACGGAAAAAAACACAATTTTTTTGAAATTTTAAAAATTGACCATATCTCCCTTCATTTTGAACCGATTTTCATGAATTTTTAGCTTATTTTTTTTCGGAATTTTTTTCCTAAACTAAATTGCTCATTTTTCAGGAAAATGCCCGGGACAAATTGTCGCGCCACGTGGCGACACCTCATTCGGCTGGGATCCATGCTTCCAGCCGGACGGTTTCGAGGAAACCTTTGGAGAAATGGATAAGGACGTCAAAAATGAGATTTCGCATCGATCCAAAGCGCTGGACCTTCTAAAAGAGTACTTTGAGAAGAATTGATTGATTTATTGATTTTTTGAATTTTTTGAATTTTGAAATTTTTGAAAAAAAATTTTTTTTTGAAATTTTTCAGTTATTATTGTTGACCTAATTTTAATTTATATGCTATGAATTTGTTGATTTTTCAGAAAAATTTTTTAATTTTTTAATTTTTAATTGGAAAATTTCCCATTTTTTAATTTGTTTTTTTTTGAATTTTCAGCAAAAAAAAATATTTTCAGCCAAAAATTTTTTTTCAGATTTTCTCTCGAATGTCTCAATTTTTCAAAATTCTCCCAAAAATGCGAAAAACCCCTATCATTTTTGTGATCGGATGTACGGGAACGGGAAAAAGTGATTTGGGTGTGGCTATCGCCAAAAAGTACGGTGGCGAGGTGATTAGTGTTGATTCGATGCAATTTTATAGAGGTATGGGGCTGGAAATAGCTGAAAATTGCTTTGAAACGCTGAAAATGACGGAAAAATCGATAAAAATCGAGGAAAATGAGCTAAAATGACCCGAAAACCCATCAAAATTGATATTTTAGTCAAATGCGCTCTATTGAGAATCTCCTCTTTCCTCGTCAAAAGTGAATGGGATTTTCGAATTCAGCGTGTTTGATTACTCCCAAAACCAGTGTTCCAGCGAATTTCATCAATTTTCAGCAAATTCGCTCTATTGAGAATTTCGAGTTTTTGAGATTCTCAATAGCGCGCGCTTGCTGAAAATTTGTTGAAATTGGCTGGAAAATTCACTTCCGAGGTAATCGAACGCGCTGAATTCGAAAATGGCAATGGACTTAACCTAAAATCGCTGAAAAATTTCTAGCAAATGCGCTCCACTGATAATTGTTTCTAGGATTGGACATTGCGACGAACAAGATCACCGAAGCAGAAGCCGAAGGCATTCCACATCATATGATGTCGTTTTTGAATCCATCCGATCCATCAGCCTATAATGTACACCAGTTTCGAGAGGCCACGCTGGACTTGATTCAGGTAAATGCGCTCTATTGAGAATTTTGGATTTCTCGGGTTTCTAGACGTTTCCTGAGGAAACAAATGGCATTTTTGAAAATTGCGTTCTCGATTATCTATAAATCCAAGTGATCAGACAAATCCAACGAGGTTTCAGCAAGTGCGCGCTATTGAGAATTCAGAATTTCTGGGTTTTCTGGAATTTTCCAGTGAAAACGAATTTTTGAATTTCCCGTACTCGATTACCTATAATCCGAATTTCTAGCTAAATCCAGCAATGTTTTAGCAAGTGCGCTCTATTGAGAATCTTTCATTCTCAATGGAGCGCACTTGCTGAAATTTGTCAAATTTTGCTGTAAAGTCAGTTTTCGGGGTTATAAATCACGCTAAATTCGAATATGGCACTGCTTTAGAGTGGGAACGTTTGGAAAAACATCAAAAAAATTGTTTTTTTTTATTTTCAGAAAATTTTCAATTTCCAGAAAATTCGGTCCCGCTCGAAAGTCCCAATAATCGTCGGCGGTACGACCTACTACGCTGAAAGTGTGCTCTACGAGAATAATCTAATCGAAACGACGTCTACAACGAACTCAGATGACGTCATCACAAAATCCCGAACGTCTTCTGAATCATCGTCGGTGACTTCTGAATCAGATGACATCACGAATTTGGCGTTGTGGGAGGAGTTGAAGCGAGTCGATGAGCAGTCTGCAAATCTGCTCCATCCGAATAATCGATCTCGAGTACAGCGTGCACTTCAGATTTTCAAGGTTTGTTTGGTGGAAAGCGCGCTCTATTGAGAATTCTGATTTTCTGGGTTTTCTAGGCGTTCCCAGAAGCCACGAATAGCATTTTTGAATTTTACGCACTCGATTACCCCTAAATTCAAATTTTCAACCAAATCCAGAACGTTTTTTGCAAGTGCTATTATTGAGAATCCTGAATTTCTATTGAGAATCCTGAATTTCTGAGTTTTCGTGACGTTTCCTGTAAACATTATTATGATTTTTGAATTTCCTACACTCGATTACCCATAAATCCCAATTTTCTGTCAATTCCAGGCACATTTTCGCAAATGCGCTCTATTGAAAATTTTGAATTTCTGGGGTTTCTAGACGTTCCCTGTGAACATTATTATGATTTTTGAATTTCCCACTCTCGATTACCCCGAAATCAAAGTTTCTGTCCAAGTACAAGAAGGTTTTTTTCTCAATGGAGCGCATTTGCCGAAAATTGTCAAATTTTCCTGGAAATTCGGTTTTAGGGGTTATCGAGTACGCTGAATTCGAATATGACAATGGTTTGAAGAAGAAACGTTTGGGAAAATTTTTATAAAGTTAAAAAATTGGATTTTTCAGGAAACTGGAATTCCAAAATCTCAACTCGTCCAACAGCAAAAATCTGACGACACCGTGGATTTGGGCGGAAAGTTGAGATTCGACGATTCGTTGGTGATTTATATGGACGCGACGCCAGAAGTACTTGAAGAACGTCTCGATGGGAGAGTTGATAAAATGATTAAAATGGGATTGAAAAAGGAATTGGTCGAATTCTATGATGAGGTTAGTTTCGCGGAGACATCTGGATGTAAACTAGAACAGACAGAAAATTTCAGAAAATTTGAGCTGAAAATCATGAAAATCGGGTGAAAATGAACAGAGATATGGTCTTACTCGAATTTTAAAATTCGGGATTTATTTTTTTCAAAATTTCTGAAATTTTCAGAAGTTTTCGCTAAAAATGATTACGATTTTCAGATTCTGAATGCTTGATCACCCCGGAAATCAATTTTTCAGCGGAATTTGGTCAGTTTTGGCAAATGCGCCCCATTGAGAATTATGGAAATTGCCAATGGGGCGCACTTGTGAAAGCTCGCAAAATTTCGCCGGGCAAAATGGGTTTAAGGGTAACTAAACATGCGGAATCCGAATTTCGCTATAAATTTGTGCTTAGAAAATCGGAAAGTTCAGATTCTTTTAAAAAAAACTTTTCAAAAAATTTAAATTTTTTTCAAATTTTCAAATTTTTTCAGAAATTTTCGCTAAAAATGACTACGATTGGAACTTTGAGCGGTTTCCAGCTATTTCAGCGCCGAACCGTTGCGATTTTCGAATTCTGCATGCTTGATTACCCCAAAAACTACCTTTTCAGCAAAATTAGACGAGTTTTGGCAAGTGCGCCCCATTGAGAATTTCGAAAATTGTCAATGGAGCGCACTTACAAGAATTGGTCCAATTTCACACGAAAAGTGCGTTTAGGGGAAATCAAACATGCTGAATTTGAATTTCGCACTGGTTTTGAGCCTAAAAAGTTGGAAAAGTTCAGATTTTCTGAAAAAAATTATTTTTCGAAATCTCAAAAAAAAAATGATTTTGATTTTCAGCACAAAATCCAAATCCATCATTCAAAATACGGTGTCATGCAATGCATTGGTCTCAAAGAGTTTGTCCCATGGCTCGCCATGGAACCATCAGAAAGGGACACATCAAAAGGGGACAAACTTTTCAAAAAAGGGTAATTTTTTGAAATTTTTAGAATTTTCCCAAATTTTTGTTTGAAATAGTTGTCATTTTCAAATTCAGCGTGTCTGATTTCCCCGAAAATCAATTTTTCAGCCGATTTCGCAATATTTCGGCAAGTGCGCTCCATTGAGAATTTTGGTTTTTTGAGATTCTCCATGGAGCGCACTTGCTGAAAATTTGTTGAAATCGACTGGAAAGTTGGTTTCCGGGGTAATCAAACACGCTGAATTCGAAAATGACAATGATTTCGAATGAAAATTATCGGAAAATTATAAAAATTTCAAAAAAAAAAATTCAAAAAAAAATTCCAGATGCGACGATGTGAAGCTTCACACCAGACAGTACGCACGTCGCCAACGTCGTTGGTATCGATCGAGATTATTGATCCGATCGGATGGTGATCGGGTATTGATTTTTTAAGATTTAGGATTTTTGAAAATTCTTTGCAGATTTTGAACATTTCTAGGTCATTTTAGAATTTTTCGGAAAAAAAATTTTTTTTTTCAAAAAAATTGGAATTTTCCAGAAAATGGCAAGTACCAAAATGTTGGACACATCAGATAAGACGAAAATTATCAGCGATGGAATGGCGATTGTGGACCAATGGATGGGCGGAGTCGACTTATTTGAAGATGTTAGTGTGATTATTCAGATTCGGAAACCCACTATTTTGAAGCTTGTTATGCGTGGCGGCCTAGAAATCCAAATTTTGCAAATTGGGCCAATGTGTACATGGTTCGAAAGAGCATGATGTGACAGTTCTATATCAGTTTTTAAATTCAAAAAATATCGAATTTGAAGCGAGTTATGCTCATTTCAAATTTGGGACGATATGGCCTAGTTTTGGGTTTCTAGGCCACCAAACGAAAATGGCCATAACTAGCTTCAAAATTGATATTTTTCCAATCTAAAAACTGATTCAGAACTCTCAAAACATGCTCTTTCATATACATCGTGGCCTAACTTTTGGGGACTTTTGGATTTCTAGGCCATCAACTTTTTTTTGAAAATTATTATTTTTTTGGGATTTTTGCATTGAAATTTTTTTTTGGAATATTTAGAAATTAAAAAAAATGATGGCCTAACTAAGGGATTTCTAGGCCACCAATTTTTTTCAAAATTTTAACAAAATAACGTTTCAGATTTCAACTGAAAATGCCAAGAATACGGTAATGAAGGGACGGGACGCGAACGTTTTGTTGAAATGTGAGCTCTGTGATATTTCAATGACCGGGAAGGATAATTGGTGGGAATTTTGGAAATTTAAGGATTTTTGAATTTTTGAATTTTTGAATTTTTCGAAAATTTCAATTTATTCCAAATTTCGCATTATTTGATTTTCCAGGCAACGACATATCGATGGAAAGAAGCACAAGCGCAATGTGAAGAAGGCCAAGGAGCAGCAGCCGAATTTGGGATAATTCGATTTTTTTTTAAATTATTTTTTTTTGTTTGGTTGAAAATTGTTCTGTTTCTTATTTTATCTATTTATTTTGTCAATAAAAATTAGTTCTTTTTGGTTTTTTTACAAAACTTTTCTTTTAAAAATTGACCCTAACAAAGGAAATTCGGGAAAATTTGAGGGCTCAACTTCGATTTAATTTAACTCGGTTACTGTAAGAGATATCGGAAAGTGGTTAACTAAGAAAATGTTTATTAAGATGTCAGCAATATTTTGTTAGTTGGCCACTTTTTGATATCTTTCACAGGAGCCGAGATAATTGGGCCCCAAGCGCACTACATCAGAGGTCACTGTGAAGCCTGTAGCACCTTGCGCTTCAACTCACTTTATCTCGGTTACTGTAGGAGATATCAAAAATTAGCCAACTGAAAAATATTGCTGACTTCATAATAAACATTTTATTAGTTGACACCTTTTTTATATCTTTCACAGGAGCCATGATAAATTGGCTCAAAGATTTAAGAATTTTTGAAGATTTTAAGAATTTAGCATTTTATCTTTAAGCCCATTTATCTCGGTTACTTTAAAAGATATCAAAAAGTAGCTAACTAATAAAATGTGGATTACAATGTCAGCTTCATTTTGTTAGTTGACTACTTTTTGATATCTCTCACAGTAACCAAGATATATTGACTTAAAGTAGAAGGATCATTCTACTGGATTGTTATATATATATATGTGTTAGTCATTATTTGGCAAAAATCGGGATATAACATTTTCTAGACAAGATGATATTATTTAGGTATTATTATTTTGTAATTAATGAGTTCTTCTAGCATATCTATTTTAGTTGGTTCAAAAATATTGATCCGGAAGGAAGTTACGATCCTTGGAATAGCGGAAACTGAAGCATTTGGGTTTTGTGTGGCGTCCGGATCTCATGGAATCAGTTGCTTTTAAAGGTGGGGGGACAAAAAAAAAAATAATAATGTTCTCGAAATTCCGTTCAAAGATGCCCCTCGAGGAGTTGAACTTGTGAGGGCGATGATTGAGGGTGCGGCGCCGCTACCGACTGAGCCACGCGGGCAAAGAGAAAGGGCACGCCCGATTGCATACATAAAGGCGAGGACGACAGCTGTACGCAGAGTGACATTAAGCGTTGTACACCGTCACGGTAGAATGCATACTCTAGCTACAAAAAAACTACGAAAAATCTCCTGTCCCCCCACCTTTAAAGACTAAACTCTGTGATTTTCCAAAAATTCAAAATGCAGAATATAGGACCTGAAAAGCTCCACAAATTGATACCAAACACCAAATACCGTATACCCTCTCATAGAAGCGATTACGCTCTATTGTTGTCAACGCCGCCTAGAACGCGTCCTAGAGCCTATCAGCTTTGAGCGTAATTATCTCGATTCCTGTAAAAGATATTAAAAATTTGTCATTTAATAAAATATTTCTGATAATACGATAAACATTTCCTCAGTTGACAGATTTTTGATAGCTTCCCTAGCTTTTGAGTTAAACGCGTTTTAATGCAAGCCGATCTAGTGCGGCGGTGGGTAGGCTGCATTAGAGCGCGTATATCACAAGAATGAGTAATGCTATTAGAATTCTGTCAACAGATAAAATATGTATCATAATATCGCCAATATTTTATCAGTTAACACATTTTTGATATCTCTCACAGGAAATGAGATATAAGGGCTTGAAGTTGAGGTTGGGTGGACCTCTATTAGGACGACATTTGGAATCTCCAAATCTGTGGGTTCTTTTAAAATCGAGGTACCCAGAAAATCCCCCAAATTCTTCTCTTTTTTTGGCTCTTTTTTGCTCTTCCCGGGCTCTCAAGGAGTCATCTGATACCCCTCCTCTCATCGGCACCTCTTCTTTTTACCCCAAATAAGGCAGATTACGTAATCCTAGGTGTCAATATGGGCGAACGGGGGGGTCTTGGCGGTAAGAGGAATCTTAGGAAAAGGAATAATTAAAGGAAAGGATGAGAAGAGTACATCCTTCTTAATCCCCCAAAAGCCTATCAATTACAAAACACATATAGAAAATAGACAATATGAAATAAGATTTGGCGGTTTTTGGGGTTCTGCTGAGCTACAGTACCCCCAATTTTCGGAAAATTGGAATTTAAGATCTGGTTACAGTAGCCTGGGCAACCGGAAATTCCGGAATTTAGAATCCCAGGAGCCTATCCGGAAGAAGAGGGTGTGAAAGCAATCCGTCTATTTTCTGCATGAGCAAGAACAAACAAGAACAACATGCCACGTGGCAGATGGTATTACATTCTTCCGATATAGTTAATATTATATAGGGTGGCAATAACGGAGGTTTAAAGGGTCAAGGAGGTGTAGAAAGAGGATACAGTATCCTTGAGAACCTTAACAATAGAGCGTAGTTGCACTAGTCGGTTTTTAGCTTTGCCTGGTTGAGCTACAGGCGCGCCAGCTAAGATGCCCTACAAAAGTGGCTCAACCATTTTCAATTTTCTGAAATTTATAGAGTATACTAAGCAAAAGCAGAGCTTTAATTTTGTAGTTGACACTTTTTTGATAACTCCTGCAGTTTTTGAGATATGCGCCTTTAAAGTTGTTCTACTTTCAGGCACTTGTCTATTCGTGACCAATTTTTGCCAACTTTTGAGGTCCTACAAAAGCAGCCTTACTGTTTTTAATTTGTCTGAAAATTTCAGAATATACCAAACAAAACTAGAGCTACATTTTTGTAGTTGACAATGTTTTGGTAGCTTTCTTAGTTTTTGAGATATACGCCTTTAAAGTAGCTCTACTCTTTGGCGCTATCCTGCTCGTGACCAATTTTTGCCGCTTTTTTGAAGATCCTGAAAACTAGTCCAAAATTTTCCGTTTTTTTTTTCTGAAAATTCCATACTATACCAAAAAAAACAAGAATTTTGTTTTTGTAGTTGACAACTTTTCTGTAAAATTTCAGCCAAGTGAGATATGACACGTGGAAGATGATGGGCTGAAAATAAGGTTTCAACTGAAAATGCCCAATTTTTTCCAATTTTTGAGGCTACCGAAAACCAGTTCAAATTTTTTCAATTTGTCTGAAATTTTCATAGTATACTAAACAAAACTAGAGCTTCAATTTTGCAGTTGACAATTTTTTGATAGCTTTCTTAGTTTTTGAGATATGCGCCTTTAGAGATGCTGAACGTTTAGGCGCTATGCTCTGCTCTAGAGTTTCCCCCTGGCAACTCGGTATAAATTACAATGTGGTTCCTTCTGGTCCTTCCCGCATAATAAAAAGATAAACAAAAACTTTAGGAGCCTCCTTCTCTTTTTTCTCTTTGACGGCTTCTTTTTTACGGTGGGGGGGAACGTCTTCTGATGGCCCCCCGACACCTTTTTGTAATGCAAATATCTAAGATGGTCCCTCTTTTTTATTGTTTTATGGGATTAACTTGTTGGGGTGTCTCTCTTTATGGCGGGAAAAAGTGTGTATTTACATATGAAAAGCATGGAAACTACAGTAGGCCGTTTTGCGGCATGCGCCTTTAAAATTTGGAAATCTACGAGTTCAGATAAGGCGCCATGCGCCTTTAAATGCTCATAACTTTCTTAGTTTTTATTCAAATTTTTGGGAACCTAGATTTTTAGAATCTCCGAATTTCCAGCTTTCAGGTGAATATAAATTCAGAAGGCTTGTAATAAAAAATGACTTATAACTTCCCTAGTTTTTTCCCAAACTTTTGGAAATTTGGATTTTTGGAATCTACAGACTCCGGGCTATAAAATAATCCTAAATTTCCCCATAATTATTGTTTTCGCCTCTATCTTCTTCTAGTGACCCTTGACAATATGTCATTTAGTACTAGTAGTACATGTTATTATTATACAGAAGAAGATAAAGATGAGCAATTGTTGTAAACAAGTACTCAAGTTCTAGGTCTCCTAGGAATTGTTATGGGGGCTCATTTGAATTCCAAATATCTTTAAAAATTGTATAAAATTGAATTTGCAACTATTTCATAGTTTATACTTTTTTGGTATCTCTTCTGGGAAATGAGATAATTGAGCCCCTTTCATTGGGGTCAAAAATGAAGCTAATGTTGACACCCTACAAAAGTAGGTCAACTTTTTTCAAATTGTCTGAAATTTGTAAAATATACCAAACAAAACTAGAGCTTCATTTTTGTAGTTGATAGTTTGTTGGAAAATTTGAGCCTGATGAGATATGCCACGTGGAAGATGATGAGTCGGAAATGTGTTAAAATTTGAGACTTCTACTGAAAATTAGCCATTTTGAGGTTCTTGAAAAGCAGTTAAAATTTTTCAGATTCGGCTGAAAATTTCAGAATATACTAAACAATATTAGTGCTTCAATTTTGTAGTTGATAGTTTTTTCGGAAAATTTCAGACAAGTATATGCCACGTAGAAGATGACGAGTTGGAAATGAGATTTCTATTGAAAATGCCCCCATTTTTAATGGTCTAAAACATGCTTTGAATTCGTCCGATTTGGCTGAAATTTTCAGAATATACCAAACAAAACTAGAGCTTTAATTTTGTAGTTGAAAAGTTTGTTGGGAAATTGAAGCCAGATGAGATATGCCACGTGGAAGATGATGAGTCGGAAATGTGTTAAAATTTGAGACTGCTACTGAAAATTAGCCATTTTTGATGGCCTCGAAAACGAATCCTGATTTTTTAGATTTGGCTGAAAATGCCAGAATATGTTAAACAAAACTAGATCTTCAATTTTGTAGTTGATAATTTTTTGGAAAATTTCAGACAAGTATATGCCACGTGGAAGATGACGAGTCGGAAATGAGATTTCCACTGAAAATGCCCCCATTTTTGATGGTCTAAACAATGCTTTAAATTTGTCCGATTAGTCTGAAAATCTCCAAATATTTTAAACAAAACAAGTGCTCCATTTTTGTAGTTGACAACTTTTTTGTAAAATTTCAGACAGATGAGATATGCCACGTGGAATTGCAGCTACTCGTCCCCCTTTGTTACTGTAATCTCATCCCATCCCTCTCTTCAATCCCATATTGTCTTTTTCCCTCCCTTCTCAAATGCTAATCAAAATACAAACAAACCGAAAGAAGGGGACACTTCTCCCCCCACCAAAAAGAGACTTCCCGCAGAGAGAGTGGTTCCATTTTCGGGAGGTGTCAAAAAGCTTCATCTCCTTTTTCGGCATATGGGAGGCTTGATGCTCTTTTGATGACAAAACAAAATGAGTGGCAATCAGATTAAGAAGAAGCGGGTCTCAAATGGAAAAGAGTCAATCATAACATACATTGTGTGTTGGTATAGTATAGTACCATATGTTAGGGGGACCAGGAAAAACAAGGATTACCGTAATCTCAACAAGAATCTGACAATTAGATCTTGAACGGCACATAACTCGCTTTAACCTTGATATACTTGATTTCAATAAATTGGAAAATGTAGAACTTGATGAGAGCTACAAAGTGATATAACATTCATTTTGTTTCCAAAACCCAGTTGGTCGTACAGAAGCCGCTAAACATACAAGGACTCAATAAGAACTACAAAATTATATAAAATGTAATAATCAAGGTCCTTAAGGTTTTCCAGGTAGACTCGTTGAAAACGTGATACGAGACTTTTTCAGCACTCTTTGCGTTTTTGGCTTATAGCTTGTTTCAAACTCTATAGATTTAATTGTCCTGAATTGGTAAATGTAGAACTTAAAAAGAGGTACAAAAAATATAAAATTTCATTAGGTTACAAAACACGGTTGGTTATACAGAAGACTTTGAACATGACAGCAACCAAGTGCAGAGTAGCAACTACCCTCTATCCGCTTGCGCTTTTTTTTCTCATAACTCTTTCCAAACTTAAGATTTTTAATAAAAGTAAATTTTGAAATTCAGAACTTAGTAAGAGCTACAAAATGGTATATAATTTCATTGTTTTCTAAAATACGGCTGCTCGTGCAAAAGGCGCTAAACAAGCCTATGCCAAAGCGGCGAGTAGCCACTACCATCTGTCCTCTTGTTTAGCTCATATCTCGCTTCAAACTCAATATCTTCAAACACAAAATACTTCAACATGTAGGTCTTAAAAAGCTCTACAAATTGATATAAAGTTTCATTTATTTTGCAACCCAATTGGTCGTACAGAAGACGCTAAAGAAACAAGTGCCGAAGCACCGATACCCTCTATTTGCGTGTTTAGCTGATAACTCACTTCAAACTCAAGATTTCGGATTGCATTAATGCGAAAAATGTAGAACTTGAAAAGTTCTACAAAATGATATAAAATACCATTAGATTACCAACTGAAGGTTCTCGTAATGAAGACGCTAAACATGACGCTGTTGAAGCTACCCACCATCCGTTTGTTCTTCAGCGTCAAACATTATATGTTCTGCGAAATGTTCCCTGCATTGTGACCCAGATTCAAATTTAGGTAAGAACACTTTCTCATTTTTCACCTACTGACAGTGGGTTAGTGTCAATCTGTCCGCGGTCGGTCGCCCATAATTATGGCCGCCGCGGCGGTGGTCAGCCAGCAAAATTTGCATAATTTTTCTTTGATTTTGCACCCCCTCTCACCGTTTAAATCTTTTTGAAAGTGATTGATATTTATGGAATGCAAAATAAGAAGCAAAGAGCAGATGGTGAGACTTCTTAAGGAGCGTTTAAATTTTGAAAGAAGAGAAAAAAATGCTAGAAAATTACCGTATCTCGCCTCATAGAAGCCCACCCGAACCGTCAACTTTGAGCTCAATTATCTCGATTCCTGTCAGAGATATCAAAATTTTGTTAACTGATAAAATAATGGTTATCTTATGATAAACATTTTATAAGTTGAAAATTTTTTGATATCTTTCACAGGAATCGAGATAATTGAGCTCGAAATTGGCGCTTTATGCTTATGTCAAAGGAAATACGGTAGCTACGCTGTCAAGTTTCGAAAATCCGCCAGATTGATTTAATGACTCATAAATCCCCAAAAATGTTTAGCACAACAAACATTATGCCCACCTGTACCTGTTACATGTATTATTGACAGACAGATAGATACTAGACCCCATCTATTTGCCAGCAGGTGTTCATTCAGGCACTCATCATGTCCCCAATGCTAACATACTGTATCAATAGCATGAGACATGAGGATGCGCGAAAAGTTTTCGATGGTCCTTAGAAAGAGCACGTGTAGAATCTGCTACACTGTAGATTGACGAGTAGCTACAGTACCACTTGACCAGAGGAGATGGTCAAGTGGATGGGTGCTAATCCGGTTGATGGGTAGCTTATAGCTATAGAAATGTTGGGTAATACACTATTTTAGGGAATTGTTAAGCATAAATGTTTCAAAAAGACAATTTTATGTGAGATTCTAGAATCTCTGACCTAGAGAACGCAAACAAGCAGACGCTCTAGCTACTCTGCGCCCTCCTGGGCTCTCTGTTTGTCAACTTTGGCCGGCTTTATCTTGGTTACTGTAAGAGATATAAAACAATTGTTAACTGATAAAATGTTAATCTTTGCATTTTACACATTTTATCCGTTGACAGGTTTTTAATACCTTTCAAAAGAACCGAGATAATACAGTTTGAACAAGAGCGGCCGCTATAGCTTCTCTGCGCCCTCCTGCCCTCTCTAGTTGTCAACTTTGAGATCAGTTTATCTCGGTTACTGTAAGAGATATCAGAAAGTTGCTAACTGATAAAATGTTTATCATAAAATTTAAAACATTTTATCAGTTGACAGATTTTCAATATCTCTCACAGAAATAGAGATAATCGAGCTCGAAGAATAGGTTGGCGCATCGCCGAGCTACGCGCGCTTGGGACCTACTATGGTTATAGCTCAATTATCTCGGCTCTTAAACTAGCTATCAAAATTATGAAAATCAATAAAATATGTATTAGGAAATTTAACACAATTTATCAGTTGACAAGTTTTTGGCATCTCTTACAGGAATAGAGATAATCGAGCTCACAGTAATAATTGGCGCATCGCCGAGCTAAGCGCGCTTGGGACCCACTATTCTTATAGCTCAATTATCTAGGCTCCTACGTTAGTTATCAAAGATGTGTAAACTAATAAAATGTTTATCACAAAATTTCACAAATTTCACTAGTTGACAGATTTTTGATATCTCTTACAGGAGCCGAGATAAATAAGCTCAAAGTATAGATTGGCGCATCGCTGAGCTCCGCGCGGTTTCAAAAATTTTATTCCGCTCATGTCTGTTACATATCTCAGCTCCCATGGTATCTATCAAAACTTTGTCAACCAATAAAATGGTCATCATTAAATTTTACACATTTTACTAGTTGACAGATTTTTGAAATCTCTTACAGGAGCCGAGATAATTGAGCTCAAGCGCAGGTAGCTATTCTCATCAATCTCTTTTCCCCTGTCAACGTGCTTTTCCTTCTTTTCCATCACGTCTTCCATTTTCCTTCCTTTCCCAAAAAAAAGAAGACATCGGCTCTTTTTTGGAGCGTTTCACAGAATGAGTGATGAGCATTAAGCCCCCGTTTTCGCCGAAAGGAACAGACGGTGGTCCTAAAAAGGGGGGGGGAGACATTTTGGTTACGGTATTTAGCGAATTGACACGTCAAGCGGAATGTGTTAAAGAGGGAGGAAGGGGTAGAAGAAAAATTAGAAAAAGGAGAAAAGATAGATTAGCCATAAAAGGAAAAAGATCTAAAAATTTGGGACAACTTTGAAGAAAGCCCAAAAAATTGTTAGTTTCGACCCTCTACAATAGTGTCTAAACTTTTTTCAATTTGGCTGAAAATTTCAGAATATACTAAACAAAACTAGAGCTTCATTTTTGTTGTTAGCAACTTTTAAAATCAAAATCTTGTTATAGTCGAATTTTAAATTATTTTGTGAATCTTTTTAAGATCTACGCTTTACAATTTAATTTGTGCTGAAATTCCAACTTTGAACTGAGTTATAAGCCAAAGACGGCAGTAATGCTAAAAAGAATCTCATCTTGCGCTTTCAACGGGTCTAGGTGCAAAATCTTGCATCCCTATATAATTGAATTTTATATCAATTTTTAGATCTCTTTGTGGTCTACATTTTAAAATTTGATTTACTTAGAAATTCCAGCTCCGAGCTGACTTATGAATAGGTAAAGTTTTGGGCTACACAGTCAAGGAGTAGATCTTGACACCAAAGCGTTCCCTCTTCTTGACTTGTTAATCCCTCTCCGACAGTTACCGCATAAGTCCCGTCATCTCAAAAAAGAAGACACCTAATTAACGAATCTCTCTTTTTTCCCCCCTTCCCACCGGATTTCGCACCGTATGGTGCCTCATTTTGTTGCTTAGAGAACTGTCGGTGTAGGTGTTTTCGGTGTGATTGGGCAAGGTCTGTAATTAGTATAATGTTGCGAATTTTTTGAAAGGATAAATAGGCGGCACTTATAATGACAACATTCGGGGATACATAGGTGATGATGGGTTCATTGGGGAGGTGAACTTGTTGAACTACGAGCTACAGTAACGGCTACACAGTTGGATTTGCGACTGCGTAGCATGGAAGCTAATTTTCAAACCTATCATTCCCGCGTTTTATTTTCACGCGATAAGGTTCTCTCCTGAATTATGACCAGAAAGAAGAAACAAAGATTTGGCTCCGACTCCAACTTGACGGATGACGATGAGCATCAAATGGATCTTATCAAGAGAGTTTTATATGCGGACGAGTTTCGTAATTTTTTGCAAATTCCGAATATTCTGGCGGAGATGAAATTGATGAAAGAAACAATTTTGACATTACAACAGGAGCTTGAAGATCAGAAAAAGAAAGTGAAAGAATTGGAAATGGGTCAAAAAGATTCAACTGGATTGAAGAAAAATACTGAGAATTCTGCTGAAATTAAAGAACGTAACCGGTCTATAGGTGTGTCAAACATTTCCGAATATGAGTCGAAATTTGCGCATGAAAGAAACGTGGCGGACGTGGCAAATGTGAATATGGTCTTTCGGCACCTGGATGCTAGTGCTCTTCCGGTAGCAATCTACAGACTGGGGCAATCACGATCAGACGGGAAGCCTAGATTAATCAAAGTGGTGCTACCCTCCTCGGCTAGCCAGAAAGAAGTTTTATCCAAAGCCCCAAGACTTTAATCTTTTGACTTAGGATTCGTGACTTAGGATTTCTAATATCTGAAAAACTGGATTTTTCTGAGCACTGGAGACAAGCAACTAACAAGGCTAAATTTATCCTGTCTCAAGTTTTCCAGCAATTCAATAGTAAAAACACCCGATTAATGGTTCTTTTATACAAAGTTTTCATAAGGCCTGTGCTCGAATATGGTACGGTAATCAGTAGCCCCTTCAAATTATCAGATATCAAATTAATAGAATCAGTGCAAAACTCTTTCACTAGAAGACTGTATAGTCGTAAACTAGGAAGATATGTTAACCCAAACGATAAGAAATATAAATATCTGCGAGCGAGCGCAACCTACTCTTTGGTCTTAATTCACTACACTCTAGACGCTTAGCAAAAGACAGGAAAATGGTATCAAAAATGATATCGGAAAAAATAGGTCTGAACGTAACTGAATTTTTCGCGTCAACTGAAACACGTACTAGAAGAAAGACACGATTTCTCTGGCCCATTCCTAAATCTAAACTAAGGCGAAACTTCTTTGTCAACCGCACTCTGAGTCTAATTGAGAACCCAAGGCCCCCCCCTCTCTCTCTAATTTGTAAAATAATTTATTATTTCTGTTAATCATTATTGCAGGTATAATTTTTATTCTGTATGCGTGTATGTGTTGATGGTTATGTGCTATTATTTGGAAATAGTGTTACTATTCGGTTCTCCACTTTAATTGAATGTGTTGTCTAGTTATTCGTGTATCTGTGTTTTGTGTGATTGTATTGTATTCCTTTTCTCTTTTTTCTCTTTTTCCACGACGGAAGGTCGTAATCAATAAATAAATAAATAAATTTGAATTTTATATCATTTTGAAGAGCTCATCAAATCCTAAATTTTACAATTGTATTCATTTGAAAATATCACGTTTGAAAGAAGTTATGAGTTTTTTAAAACTAATTACCTTTTTTACTGTGTTGTCAACTTAAAAGCGCCTACTTAAATCTAACTGAACGGGAATGTTAACATGTTTTATATCATGTTGTAGATCTTGTCAAGACCTACATTTTGCATTTTAAATCGTTTTAAAATATTAAGATCTCGCGATTTCAATGGGTCAAGCTAAAACGTTTTGAATTGCTATATATTTTAATTTTATATAATTTTGTAGAGAATTTTATGACCTACATTTTGCAATTTGAATCGTTTCAAAATATTGAGTTTGAAGGCAGTCATGAGCTAAACAGGTGGGTAGCGGCTCTGAAGCGGCACAGCGGCGAACCTCGTTTTAGGAGAATAGGCATATCCTTCAACGGTTGCCGTTTTCAAGATTTTGGGCTAAAACCAAGAACCAGAAGTCTCCCTTGTTATTAACAAGATTAGCATTAGCTCACAGCTATTGTTAGCAAGATTACTGTACTCCTAACTCTCTAAACCCACTTGTTACAACCCACTTGCTCAATTTCTATAGCGGGGGGTCATCATTTAAGTGGCTGCTCCATGCCTTTTTTTTGTTATTTTCCTCTAGTGGACAGACGGAAGAAATAGTGTGGGATATGGAGAGAGTAGTTAGAGAGAAGAGATTTAATTATTCTAAGAAGAAGAAGAAGCAATTTAGAAGGAAGAAGGGTGTTATTATTTCAATGAGAAGAAAAACAGTTATGGTTTAAATGGAACGAGGTTTTTCGAGATAATTGAATAAATAAATATATATATATATAGGGTTAATGTGTGATTTGGAAAAGGAGAGGAGTGCGGGAAATCGTAAATGCTCTAAACGTGCACTTTGAGCTCAACTATCTTAGTTCCTTTAAGTGATATCAAAAAAATGTCAAATGAGGAAATGTTTGCCTTCAAATATTATACATTTTGTCAGTTGACAAAATTTCGATATCTCTTACAGTAACCGAGATATATACCGTAAAACCTCTAATAGAACGACACCCGGATCGTCCACTTTGAGCCTATATATCTCATTTTCTGTGAAAGATATCAAAAAGTGGCTAACTAGTAAAATGTTGCTGATATCCTGATAAACATTTTACTAGTTAACCACTTTT